ATGATAACTCAGCACTGAGTTGTAGAACGGTAAACCGAAGACTACTTCGCACAGTTTAACGGTTTTTACTTCTTCGGCTTCCGGATAGATTGAGTCAGAAATTCCCTTTAATTAACTTTTTCTTAAAAATTAGTAAGGGATTTTTCGAACCCCATCTTTCCTTCATGTATACCAAGTAGAATCTGCCTAAGACTCTGGTGATTTGCTTATTCAGTTGATTAATTAAAGTCTGGATCTTAAATTAACCAAATATGGAGCTTCCAAAGGCCCATCCTTTAGCGATTGTCACCTCATCTTTCATAGTGGTGAAACGCTTAATAGGTGAAATGTTCAAAATGAGATCCATGCTCTAGTAATTCCAAACTGTAGTCAGTCCAGGTCGCATTAGGGCATAAAGATATGATATTTGAATTTTTCCACAAAGCAATTAAATTTCACTCAAACCTGTTGCTCAAAATTGCAGTGAAACCTATATTACATAATTGTAATAGAATTCAACTATTAGACCTTGATCACTCTATGCGACTTAGGCTGATTACAGTTTCTAATCAGGATATTTTGAAAGTACCGAAGCCTACTAAATATGACTACTGATTAATTATTGAGTAATATCGCTAATACTAATGCTTTATCGACGAGAATTCCATTAAAAGCTGGGATAGCGTTAGGTTCGGCTGGCCTCTATTCAGTAGGACGGCCTTACTGCGAGGCAATAACGTTTACACAATTAGGTAGTCATGATTCTTCGGTTTCGTGTGAGGTCAAATTTTAAAATGAAGTGAATAGTTCGTTGAAATCAAATTATGTACAGGCTTAAAACTCAGGGCCAGTTTCCACAGTATCGTTGGATATGTCTGGTATTGGGGACTTTTGAAAATACCTGCCAACAGACCTTCCACAGGAGTGCATCTCATTCGAGAATCAGCATGTTTCGGCCCAAACGGCAGCCAAATCGCCTTAAGAAGACGATTTTCAGGTGCTCCCGAAAAAAAGAGTAACCTTTAAGTTATGCCTTGTTTAGCGTGCATAAGGCTTAGATTAAAATTACATATCCTCGTATCCTTCATGTATTTTTTCTAAAAGTTTGAGCTTAATATCCAATAGTACAGGGCGAAATAAGTATACACAATTATATTTGCATACATAAGAGTACAGGGCTATGTGTTTTCGTTTGCGTGTCGGCACTGGGCCACTTCATATGAATATGTACATGAATTTAATCATTGCAATTTCCTATTGTACATAGGTTAGCATCAGAAAGCCTTCCTTTTGCTGCTGGAAGGCAAATCACATTAGTTAATGGGCAAGCAACTGGCCGAAAGATCGGTTTATAAAGGCTCTCTCACACCTCAGCTCGTCGCAGTCGTCCCCTCCCTCTCCATCACCTCCTCCTTCGCCTTCTCTTCATACAGTTCTCCACATGTATGGAGGTGATTCGGCCGCCTTGTTGTCTTCTCAGATGTCCATGCTCTGATGCCCATGAGACCGGAAAGACAGCAGAGCACATATCAAGTGAATGCTAGAATGGGGATTTGTGTTCAATCGAGATTGCTCGAAACTGTGACTTGCAAATGGGGACAATTGACGAGGGGATTAAGAGCCGAAGCAGCTGAACAACACCAAAAAGAGAAGACATGAGGCATGGGAATGTGTGTCAGAGGGGCGATTGTGTCGTCATTCGAAAGTTAGGCAAGTAGTCTGCTAGTTCCGCAGGACCGGTCGCTAGACCTCATTCTACGGAGTCTCATTGTCTCTTGGCCTTCGTGATGCGCTCTCACTCGACGGCAGTTGCTAGTTGGTTTGTCAAGGAAACAGTCGCCCAATGCTTCAACACTGTCTGTAAAGTCGACGTTGACCATGAATGCATTCAAGAGTCTTCGGGCTGCAGTCAGGTGACACATTAAGCGGTGCTCGAGGATCTGCCGGCAGCACCACCTCCAGTGGAAGACAGAGATCCTGACTACTGTAGGGGTTGCTGTGTGGCATTTTCCCCCAGAACCCAACAATCTCCTCGACGTCCTGGCGCAGCGTTTAACGGGAATCTGGCTTGGCACCATGAAACATTTGTCAGAGGGATGGTTAAACGGGCTTGGGGGACCCTGAGATGGCCTCAGACAGCTTCAATTGAGTTCAGGGCGGAAGCTTGGCAATCGGCTGGTTGTTGTGTCGGGATGGAGGGAGGCAGGAAAGAAGATGGGACGAACAAGCAGTATCAGATAGCGGGTGTGTAGTGTGAGCGCAAACGATACCCTTCGTGTTGTTGGCATCGGCGCTAACTTGTCTCAAGCCTGCCCGGCTGTCTTAGCCCCAAAGGTCAACACCCAATGGCATGGATTCAGTTCGAGTGATTGTAATTGTACTGGCTCTCGTGGACACTGAAACACGAGACATTCGAAGATGACCGATCTGGGCGAGGGAGCAGCTAGACAAGACTGGAAAAGGTGTCAAATTTGTTTGTTAATACAGTAAAAATAGGTGGATTTTGATGGATCGCTTGAGATGCATATTTTCATTTCACAAGTAGGCTTTCGAGACTGCTACTAATTCATATATAAACATATATTTTGGTATTGCGGCAGGACTCTCTATTTCAAATGGAAAGTTGGTTGAAGGGAATTCGTCGCATAAGGAGGACCGTCCTGTGACCCCGACGAAACTGTGCTAAGTTTTCGTCTGTACTGTGACGGACATCGACAGAGCAAGATTGCATACTTTACGAAATAGAATAAAAATATACTAAACCAAGAGAATAAAGTGGCATCTGCGATCATAGATGCC